ACTAAGTATGCATATATGCAGCAGATTGAAGACATGGATTGAAAGTGAGAAATGAGACCATCCCAGGCTAGAAAGAAAAACAACTGGACCTTGAATAAGGGCCAGCTTAGAAAGAAAAACAGTTAGACAATTAGGGCTACTAAACCTTGAGTAGAGGCCAGACCAGATGGCCCTCCTCAGAGGACAGGGTGAGCCTATTTTAAGATAAGAAACCCGGGGCAGGGAGGACTGCCCTTGGAAGAAGCTGTAAGCTGCCAGCTGCAAAACTGCTATCTTTCTGCTGACTAGTCAATGTAAAGATACATGTGTGGCCTGATTTTTAGGTATAAAAACTCTATGTTTTGTATGCTTGGGGTCGCCTCCTGCTTTGAAGGGGCGACCTCCATCGTGATCGGAATAAACTGCCTCTTGCTTTTGCATCGAACTGAGGTCTGTGAGTCTCTTTGGGGAGGGAGCGGTCCGGAGTCCCTGCATCGGGAGTGCAGGTCTTGCATGTGGTGCGTTGGCCGGGAAACTGACGCATCCCTTCCCCGACTCTCACCAGACTGGGCTCGGAGGTCAGGCTGAAACAGGTCAGTCATTTTGTTTGTCAGATTTCAGATTTCTGCAGATTCTGTTTTGTTCTGTTTAGGCGCCTGTCTGAACCTTCCTGGTTGTTTGATTAGGCCATTGCTAGGACGTATCAGAATATCGCATGGCTGGAGGACGCTTCAGATTCCGTCTGCTCAGAGGTTGGATCTGAGACGGTCCTCCTCCTCCCGTCTGAGTCTGATTTTCGTAGAGAACAACCGCCGCCAGGCAGCCGTTCCATTAGGGCACTGTGGTACCACCTGCAAGGGCGTCCTTGTTTGATTACTTGCCTGGTTCTTTTTGTCTCTGTTGTTGCCTCTCTGACTTTTCTGACGGACGATTTCATTATGGGACAGACTGTGACTACACCTTTATCCCTCACCCTTGACCATTTCTCAGAAGTGAGATATAGGGCACATAACTTCTCAGTGGAAATTAGAAAAGGAAAGTGGTGAACTTTTTTGTTCCTCAGGAGTGGCCTGCCTTTCAGGTAGGATGGCCACCGGAGGGTACCTTTCACCTTGATATGATCCTTGCTGTTAAGGCTAAGACCCTCCAAGCACAGGGGGGTCATGGAAAGAACAAAGGGGTGCACCCAGGGGGGTGGATGGCGAACAATGTCTTCTCAGGTTAGAACATAAGGTATCTGATCAGGATGACTCCCCTGTGCTTGGAAAGAGAGGTGGTCCAGGGGCCGGAGGAATCTCCTGCAGCCTACTTAGAACGGCTGATGGAAGCGTTCCACCGGTTCACTCCCTGTGACCCTACTTCAGATGAGCACAAGGCAACAGTAGCTGTATCGTTCATAGATCAGTCAGCTAGGGATATTCGTAGGAAACTTCAAAAATTAGAAGGTCTGCAGGATAAGTCGTTGAAGGATTTAGTGCAAGTGGCAGAAAAAGTCTTCTATAGTCGAGAAACAGAAGAAGAAAAAGAAGAGAGGAAGCAGAAAGAACAGGAGATGAGGGAAAAAGAAAGACAAGAGGCAGGATAAAAAAATTGACTAAGATTCTGGCCACCGTAGTTCAGGAAAGTCGTACTGAAAGGGAGAGAGTTCCTGGCAAACATAAGGGCCCTTTGTCTAAAGACCAGTGTGCCTACTGCAAGGAAAAGGGACACTGGATGAGAGATTGCCCCTAAAGGAAGAAGAAGCAGCTGAATTCTCGAGCCACGGGGACCCGGGTCCTAACCTTGAATGATAACAGCGATTAGGGAGGATGGGGTTCGGTTCCCCTCCCCGAGCCCAGGGTAACCCTCAAGGTGGAGGGGAAGCCAGTCCATTTTCTAGTGGATACTGGCGCTCAGCATTCAGTTCTGTTGCAAGGCTCAGGGGCTAGGAAAGAGAAAAAGTCATGGGTTCAAGGGGCCACTGGATGTAAGCAATACTCATGGACTACCCGAAGAACAGTGGACCTCGGAGTGGGCTGGGTATCCTACTTGTTCTTAGTTGTGCCTGAATGCCCATACCCATTGCTGGGATGAGATGTCCTGACCAAAATAGGAGCCCACATTTATTTTAAACCAGAAGGCTACAGATTAAACCACAGGTTACAGATAAAAGAGGGAATCCTATTCACGTGCTTACAATTCACTTGGAAGATGAATACCGGCTATTTGAAAATTTAAAAGAGGGAGAAAAAGACATTGACTGGTGGGTGAAAAAATACCCTGAGGCCTGGGCTGAGACAGCTGGCTTGGAAAAAGCAAGAAAGCAACCGCCGGTCCAGATAGAGCTAAAACCTCAGGCAGCCCCAGCCGCAGTGCGGCAGTATCCAATGTCTAAGGAAGCCCATGATGGGCTTCGCCCTCATGTACAGCGACTCCTTGACCTAGGGGTTTTGAAAAGATGTCAATCCGCTTGGAATACTTCATTACTGCCAGTCCAAAAGCCTGGGAGCAGCGATTATCAGCCTGTGCAGGACCTGAGGGAAGTTAATAAACAGGTTATGGACTTACATCCAACAGTCCCCAACCCATATAACCTGCTGAGCTCCCTTCCCCCTGACAGAGTCTGGTATACTGTTCTAGACCTGAAAGATGCATTCTTCTGTCTTCAACTTAGCCCTGCCAGCCAAGACATTTTCACTTTTGAAAGGAAAGATCCCGACTCCGGGGTCTCAGGCCAACTAACATGGATTCGACTTCCCCAAGGGTTTAAAAATTCTCCTACCATATTTGATGAAGCCCTGCACCAAGACCTGGCACACTTCCGGGCCACAAATACTCAGGTAACTCTTCTCCAGTTATGTGGATGACATCTTACTAGCTGCAGATTGTCGGAAAACCTGTCTCAAAGCCACGGGCCGACTGTTACGAGAATTGGGTGAACTCGGCTATAGAGCATCGGTGAAAAAGGCCCAGATATGTCGGAAACAAGTCAGTTACCTGGGGTATATACTAAAAGAAGGAAAAAGATAGTTATCGAAGGCTAGAAAAGGGACTGTGTTTCATATTCCGCCCCCCACGAACTACTAAACAACTGAGGGAATTTCTTGGTACAGCGGGGTTTTGCTGATTATGGATTCCCGGGTTTGCTGAAATGGCAGCCCCTCTGTATGTCCTTACAAAGGGCAATGACTTTTTCCTGGGGAGATGATGAACAGGCTGCATTTGATAATATTAAACAGGCTCTAATGTCAGCTCCAGCCTTGGGACTTCCTGATGTCACTAAACCTTTTCATCTCTATGTGGCCGAGAAACGGGGGATGGTTAAAGGGGTGTTAACTCAAAAGATTGGACCCTGGAAGAGACCGGTAGCTTATCTATCTAAAAAGCTTGATCTAGTAGCGGCAGGATGGCCGACCTGCCTCCGGATAATAGCAGCAGTCGCTGCATTGGTAAAGGATGCTGACAAGCTGACCTTGGGACAAGATCTTACCGTCTATGCCCCTCATGCCCTTGAGAGTGTTGTCAGACAGCCACCTGATCACTGGCTCATTCCCAAACTCTGCTTTGAAATAACGACAGGATTACTTTTGCCCCAGCAATGGGGCTAAACCCTGCCACCCTGTTACCAGATCCAGAGATTCAGCCCCCAGAGCATGATTGCTTGCAGGTGTTGGCGGAAGAACAGGGATGGCGAAAGGACTTAAAAGACCAGCCTCTGCCGGATGCAGAGGTGACATATTACACAGATGGGAGTAGCTTTTTAAAAAATGGAAAAAGAAAAGCAGGAGCAGCGGTGGTGGATGTAATATGGGCCCAAGCGCTGTCAGAAGGCACCTCTGCTCAACAGGCAGAACTAATTGCCTTAACTCAAGCATTAACTTTGGGAAAAGACAAAAAGATAAACATCTACACTGACAGCAGGTATGCCTTTGCTATGGCCCATGTGCACGGGGCCATCTACCAGCAGAGAAGCCTACTGACATCAGCCGGTAAAGAAATTAAAAATAAAAATGAAATGTTGGCCTTGCTCAATGCCCTACTACTGCCCACCAAGGTAAGCATAATTCACTGCCCGGGACATCAGAGGGGAAATTCCAAGGCGGCAAAGGGAAATAACATGGCTGATCAGGAGGCTGAAGCAGCTGCTGGAAGAAGTCCTGCTCCAGTAATATTAACTGCTGAGTTGCCAGAGAAGGAACGACTGAAATACTCAGAGGATGACCTGGAGCAAATACAGAAGAAACAAGGGACATTCGATGCTAATGTGGGAGCATGGATTGACTCCAAAGGTAAGATCATTTTGCCACAGGAAGATGCTAAGAGACTAATAGCGCAGATGCATCAATGGACTCATTTAGGGGCAAGGAAATTGACTGAAATTGTTCACCAATCTCCTTACCGAATACTAAACCTCACTGCTCTAACCGAAAAAGTGGCTCAGGCATGTACACCCTGCCAAAAGGTAAACATAGGGAAGAATTTCCAAAGCTCGGGAAAACGGCTAAGGGGAACTAGACCTGGAATGCATTGGGAAGTGGACTTCACCGAGATCAAGCCGGCCAGGTATGGAAATAAATATCTCTTAGTCTTTGTAGATACCTTCTCAGGATGGGTGGAAGCTTTTCCCACCAAGAAAGAGACTGCTCTGGTTGTAGCGAAGAAGATTTTAGAAGACATTTTCCCCGGTTTGGTATTCCAAAGGTAATCGGGTCAGACAATGGGCCGGCCTTCGTTGCTCAGGTAAGTCAGGAGGTGGCCAGATTTTTGAGGACTAATTGGAAATTACATTGTGCTTATAGACCCCAAAGTTCAGGACAGGTAGAAAGAATGAATAGAACTCTAAAAGAGACCCTGACTAAATTGACCATGGAGACTGGCGGTGACTGGGTGGTACTCCTCCCTCTGGCTCTTTTTAGGGTCAGGAATACTCCTTCCTTGTTGAATCTTACACCTTTTGAACTGTTGTATGGAGTTCCCGCTCCCTTAGCTCTCCTTGGAGACCCTCTTGACATAACCAGTGGTAACTCTGACTTGTTGTCCAGGTTAAAGGGACTGCAGCTTATTCAGAAAGAGATCTGGAGCAAGGTTGGCAGTGCATATGCGCCAGGATCCTTAGAGGTGCCCCATCAATTCCAAGTTGGAGACTTGGTTTATGTACGGCGACACCGTACTCAGAATTTGGAACCCCGGTGGAAAGGTCCTTACTGCATCCTGCTCACCACCCCAACGGCTGTGAAGGTAGAAGGCATCGCTGCTTGGATCCACGCATCACACATCAAACCCGCTCCAGAGGACTCCACTTCTGACTGGAGAATCCAACCAACCCAGTGACAATCCCTTAAAACTTAAGCTTGTTAAAAATGCTGGCTGTGAGTGATATCCACAAACTGCTGGTGCTTTTGGCTCTGTTAAGCACTTGCAATACTTGCTTGGGCTCCAGTCCTCACCAGCCCAAACTTTTGACTTGGGAAGTAACTAATCAGAGACATATTATAATTTGGTCTGTATCAAAGATAGCCCCACCCTTCACATGGTGGCCGGACTTGTACCCTGACCTCTGCAAAATGGCTTTAGGAGCACCTGCAAACTGGGATTTGCAAAGCCACCTAGACCCCAACGTGGTTCCTGGGGACTCTAGACGTGGGTCTTTCAGTGAGAGAAGGGGCTTAGATCCCTGGGGGGGCTGCGGGACCACCAACCACCGCAGTATGCTGCGAGTCCTAACCTTTTATGTATGTCCAGGACCCCACCAGCAACCTAAATTAGTAAACAAATGTGGGGGGAGAAATGACTTCTACTGCAAAAATTGGGGGTGTGAAACCACTGGTGATACTTACTGGAAGCCTACCTCCAGTTGGGATTACATTATTGTTAAAGCTAATTACAGTCATGCCGAGCCCCCAGATCGGGGACCAAACAATAGGTGGACTAATCAGCCAATATGTACCACCTGGTGCCACCCCCTGCTAATCCAGTTCACGGACTCAGGAAAACGGATTTCAACTAACTGGTTGACAGGGTTCACTTGGGGCCTACGAATATATAAGGAAAGATATGATGATGGGTTACTTTTCACCATCAAACTGAAGATAACAACCCCATCTGCTGAAGTAGAGCCAAATAAAGCTGGCCCTCGTCTGGTTCCCCCAGTAAAATCAGACCCCCAGACTATGGCTCCACGTCCAGTAACCCCCTCTCCTAACTCAAAAATAGGTAAAGATTCTTCCCCTAAGCTTCCTGGACCATACATTACTTCCCTAGCACAGGGAGCCTTCCAGGCCCTAAATAACACCAACCCGAAGGTTACTGAGTCTTGTTGGTTATGCTTTGGGATTGCTCCCCCATATTATGAAGGAATTGCCTTTACAGATGAGATAAGTAACACCCAAGAGGCGACAGCCTGCCGTTGGACGCAAAGGGAGGCTAGACTTTCCCTGTCTGCCGTTTCAGGGCAAGGACTCTGTGTAGGTAAAATCCCCCCCAGTCATCAGTTTTTATGCAACCAAACCTATAATGTTACAGGCCTGTCAGGGTATCTCATACCACCGACAAATGGATGGTGGGCCTGTGCGACAGGAATTACTACTTGTGTCAGTACTCAGGTGCTTGTCAATTCGTCTGACTACTGTGTCCTGGTCCAGGTAATCCCTCGCGTTACCTATCACCCGTATGAAGAGCCCTTTCAATACTGGGACTCTGTGGGGGAACCACTGATACGAACAAAAAGAGATCTGGGAATTTCCCTAGCTATAATGCTTGGGATCGGATTAGGAACAGCAGGGACTGCAGCTGGAGGGTCAGCCATAGCCCTCCGGCATAGCGGGTTAAATGAGCTTAGGGCGGCTGTTGATGAGGACATAGAAAGATTAGAAAACACAATTAGAGAGCTCAAAGATTCCTTACAGTCATTATCAGAGATGGTGTTACAGAATAGAAGGGGCTTAGATTTATTGTTTCTGCAACAAGGAGGTTTATGCGCTGCCCTAAAAGAAGAATGTTGTTTCTATGTTGACCATACTGGAGTTGTCACTGAGACCCTAGATAAGGTCAAAGAAGGCTTAGAAAAGAGAAAGCGAGAACGAGCCCAAAGCCTAGGGTGGTTTGAAGGATGGTTTAATTCCTCTCCATGGATGACCACTCTAATCTCCACCTTGCTCGGCCCTTTGCTAATTATTCTCTTGATTGTAACCTTTGGTCCCTGCATTTTTAACAAGCTGCTTAACTTCATGAGAAGAACGGATTAGTACCATTCAGGTCCTTATGCTTCAACAGCAGTATCAGCAATTAGATGTGCAGGCTGAATCTAGCCTGTAATTTTAGGGATAAAATTATGTCAAAGAAAAAGGGGGGAAATGAGAAATGAGACCATCCCAGACTAGAAAGAAAAACAACTGGACCTTGAATAAGGGCCAGCTTAGAAAGAAAAACAGTTAGACAATTAGGGCTACTAAACCTTGAGTAGAGGCCAGACCAGATGGCCCTCCTCAGAGGACAGGGTGAGCCTATTTTAAGATAAGAAACCCAGGGCAGGGAGGACTGCCCTTGGAAGAAGCTGTAAGCTGCCAGCTGCAAAACCGCTATCTTTCTGCTGACTAGTCAATGTAAAGATACATGTGTGGCCTGATTTTTAGGTATACAAACTCTGTGTTTTGTATGCTTGGGGTCATCTCCTGCTTTGAAGGGGCGACCTCCATCGTGATCTGAATAAACTACCTCTTGCTTTTCGTGGTCTGTGAGTCTCTTTGGGGAGGGAGCGGTCCGGAGTCCCTGCATCGGGAGTGCAGGTCTTGCAAAAGTTCTCATTGAGAACCCCAGTGCAGTTGAACTGTTTATACCTGCTTTGTTTCCTTTTCCCTATGTTGATAAAACTTCTTTCCTGTGTTTGAGAAGAAGGTGTCAAATGTTTCCTGCTGTTTATATGATTGAACTGAAGTTCCTAATAATTTTATATAGGAAGAACGGATTTTGTGTCTTAAAACTTATAACAGGATATAAAGTATATTATTATTATTATTATTATTATTATTATTTGCCTAGTAAACACCCACATCACACTGTGGACATTTGCCTGGAGTTCACTGTGTGAGACTCTTAATTTCTGTCTGTTGGAGAAATTTCTGTGTGTGCTTGGTGAACTGGCTCAGCTGACTGTTGGGAAATCCCATTACACCTGTTAATGGCAGTGAATATGGGTTAACATTGCTGCGCTCGGATCTCTGGGTGTCGTTCAATAAGACACTTAACCTCTAGTTATAGTTCAATTTCTTTGTCACTAAAATGGGTTTAATTCTTGCACTCCTCTGGTGGATTCCTTGTTTCAAAGATTAGGTCCAGATTGCTGAAGCTAATACTTTCCCCCTCCCCCTTCTCAGTCCATAAGCTTCCTGGGTATGTGTCTGTTGTCTGGAACTGCTTTAGCCATCTGTGGAAGCACACAGAAAATAATGGATGGGAAAGGCTTAGGAAAGACAACTTCCCTGGATGGAGATGGGTTGAGGGGTTAATTGTTGGCGATTTGAATACTGACACTATTTATGAAAACAAGTAAGTTGAACTAAAAGGTTATCCCACATAAAACCACATTTTATGAGTCTTCCTTGGCTGGCCCTTAAACAGTGTTAGCAACAGGTCTTTGATGTGGATGTGTACCCTGAGGCGTATTTATGTTTTTCTTAGCTTTGTGGTCTCTCTTCCAGATGTGGTCAGAATGGGTCTCTGGGATAGTCTTGAATGCAATGAATATTAGGCCTAAGGCCCTTGAAATCCATACCACTGGCGCTGACAGAACCGAGCTCCTGATTAACCAGGAAAAGATGCCAGCTGCCATTCTGCATCAATGTGTGGCTCGTTCCAAGTAGTTTACCTGGATAGGCATGGCATTTAAACAGCCAGGAATAACTCACTTTTCAAGATGGTGATGAAGCTGGATGCCTCACATAGGGATGGATGCTTATGTAGAACTTCCAGATGGGAGAGCCTTAAAATTAAAAACGTGTTAAAAAGCAGTAATGAAGGAATGAGAGTTCGCTGAACATTAACATGTAATTAATTGCCAGCCATACCCTGAAATCCTAGAGTCCCAAATCACAGAGGCAGGAAAGTGTTTGGGTCCAGCTGTGACCTGGAGCTGTAAGCTGCATCACTTCTGTGTTGTGTGATGCTGTGCCTCTGTCCCTTTTTAACGTGAGAGAAGGTGTCAAGAATATCTGTTAGGGTGACGGTGTGAGAAATAGAGATGGTAATTGCTTCTGGTGCTTGCTGTCTACATCAGTTACTAATGGAACCAAGGGGCCAACGAAGTGTCTTTTCTTCTGTTGCTAACTATTTCTATTGAAGTATTGGCAACCCCCTATACTTGGGAAGCAGTGCTCTTCCTGTGTCTTTTGGGAGTTGGAGTTTGAAGGTGAAGCCCCAGGGCAAGTATTGGGTTCCTCAAGCTTGGCCGTGTGAATTCACTTCCTGCTCCATCCTAGAAGCGCTTTCTTTATTTGTGCTGTTTGCTTTAGCTTTGCTATTGGGCTTTATTTCCTTTTGGTATTTCAGATTTTTAGATCAGGTTCTGATTTCTACAACAAAATGTGCAGTTTTACATATATCTTCAAATAAAGCATATTTTTTTCCTTTGGAATATTTAGCTAAACTTTTTAGCTATTGAGCTATTTTTGTCTTCCACTGTAAAATGGTTGTTCCTTCTCACCTCATATAAATAATCACATTGCTTAAATATTAAGAGTGCTAGGTCTTCATTCTTGTTTTTGAGTAACTACTATTTTTTAGACAAAAAGATGCTAAAGAACAATTGTTTTTCAAAAATGACTACTAATGATGCTTTATAATTTTGTGGCATTTAAACCAGATCTTACAAAAGGCTAGCTCTATCATCTTGAAAATGCAACATTTCATACTCTTCTTTATATGCTCATTGCTCATATCTAAAACAGTTTTAATTATTAAGTAACTTCAAAAACTGTTTACAAAGAACAGTACCCTCTAGTGAATATTTAAACACTGGCAAATGCCTGTCAATTTTTACCCAGTAATGTTTGAATCATGTTTGTTTTGAATGTGTGAGCAAAGTCCACAGCCCTGCAGAGGATCCTATCCTTAGCCCATTTTTATTACCTTTGCTCAGGTTTGACTCACAGCTGGCAGCAGGCAGGACCGTAAACCACACTTAGAGCACAGCAGCCCCTAAGACTGGTGACAGCTGGTGGCATGGGGACGCTTGTCTTCATGTTCTTGTCTCAGTTCTCAGACGTGTTGACTGCTAAGCAAACAATAAAATCAATTCCAGTGTTTATCTCTGTATTTCTTGACTTGCTTTTCCTCAGTGTTCTCAAAATCTTTACATTTATTCGGCAATTTCTGGAAGGAATTAAACTGAATAGAAAAACACCATTTTGATTTCATTTCAAGTGAACTTCTCAGGTATAACTTTGTCAGTGTGGTCCTACGTGATCTCTCTGATCACACCTTTGATGGCTGCATGCCGGGTCTCTACATTGGCGTAGGCACCTGGACCCTCTCATCTGGAATGCACATCCCCTGACATGATTAGGTCCCCCTTTTCTTTCAGAATATGCTCGGTGTCCAATCTGGAATGAGACTTTGCTGACTGCCGTTGATGAAGTAAGCTCTCAAGCCTGCCCAGTCCCCTCCTGCTTCCTTCCCTGGCACAGGCGCATGCCTGGCTGACACCACTGTGGGGTGCTTCTGTGCTGTGTGGCTGCACACTGCTTTGTTTTCTGGCCCGGGGCAGTACCTGTTACTTAGTAGAAAATCTGGAAATGAATTGAGGGAATAAGTGAATGAGGCTGGCTACTCAGAGAGCTTTGTGTATGAGAGAGGGTGACTTCAGTGACTGTTAAATAATTAAGAGGCTAGTGGGTGTAACTGGCCCCTGGGATTTAATGCAAATCAAAACCCAGGGGATTGGAGAATTAAGATCAGTGTGCTAATGTTTGGGAATGAAGGAGAGAGGGAAAGGGAACAATCTGGAATATTCTTCTAGCTTGGCAATAAGAGATATTCTTTCCATGCAACTAAGTTAAGGAATTGTGGGAAAGGAATCAGCATTTTAGAGAGCAAGTTGTATGTATCAATAGGAAAAGAGATCACTTTATTTCTGAATGCATATTGGTCTGCAGTGTGTTTTCTCAAAGCCACTGGTGCCCCCCCCCCCCCCCAAACTGTTGATTTTACTTTGAGGTCAAGTTTCCTAAAGTGTTTTAAAAGCTAGCCACGAAGGCGGGCTTTGTCCTCTAGGGAGTTTGTATCTTTAGATGGAGAGATTTTATCTGGGCACCAAATTGAAATTACTAAAGATCTGAATACTTAATTAGCTTTTCAGGCTCCTGAGTCACTAACAAAATTAGCGTTTTAAATGTGAAGTTCATTGTTTTTCTGTTTACCAAACACATTCTGTGCTCTGGACTCCCCAGGAGGCCGTGGCATTGGCATCTGGTGGGTAACAGGTCCTGTCCAGTTTCTTTTAAGACCTTGAACCCAAGGAGATGGTGGACTGAATTAGACTGAGCCAATTCCTTTTCAAGTGTGTAGAAGTAGTTAGACTATGACTCACTGAATTCTAAGTTAGTAACTTGGTTTTCAGCAAATATCTAGAGTTGTTGTAATTAAAAAACTCAAAGTCGATGTCTATGAGGTTCCTGGCTGACTCCAGTTCTTTCCTTTACTTGGAGGCATTGTTTCTCTCCTGTTGTTTCTTACCTGCTATGTGGGAAGCTCAGGCCTTTGGAAAGGAAAGATGATTGCACGGTGTTGGTAACATGTCCTTTGTTGCAAGAGTGTATATATATATATATTTTCTGTTTAGCTAGAGGTATCCAAGACCCAGTTGTCTACATTAACATGCAGTGTTCTAACTCTCTGAAAAAAGGATGTCTGAGCATACTGATGGGTGGGTGGGTGTCATGTTATTGAGTGTGAAAAGCAACTTGCAGCATGTTTTGTGTGTCTGGAAAAGGAAAATGCACAGTGTCGTGCAATGTCAAAAATGGCATGGAGCAAGTGGAAGTGTTTACTTCTTAATCCAAACCTCCTGGGACAATGCTTTTTTGTTTTTCTTTCTCTCTTTCTTTTTTCTTTTTTTAAATTCATTCACATTGTCTCAGTTTTAAAAGAAAAGCCATAGAGTGTTTGGATGATTCGCTAGGTGAGCTGTGTTGGAGACAGACCTAGTACCGGGTACCTGCTCATGGGTGGTAGCAACCAGGCTCTGTGCTGGCCCTGGAGTGGGCTGGGGGTAAGCGAGGCTGCCCTCTGAATGGCTTTGCGTCTTACCAGCTGCACGCTGGCTCCACTGGCATTTGGATATTTAACCTCTACTTCAATAATAATAATAATAATAATAATAATAATAATAATAATAATAATAATGATAATAAAAGATGCTTCTTAGAAACCATTACTACTAAGGTTTTCATTAGTCTTCTTTTTCTGAACTGGTAGTCTCTAGTGAGATTTTGGTGTGTCTCACCATGATCTCTATAGACCAGGAAGCCTGTTATGTGTATTTGCTGACACTGAGCTATTTGAATCTCCAACTATTTGTCTTTGACAAAGGAATGTTATTATTGTGCGCTCTCCCTCTATCTCCACCCTCCCTAAAGTAGCCAGCATCGAGGCTTATTTATTTTCTTGCACTGTTCTTTAATTGGGCTTATTTCTGCTGAACCTTGGTATTATTACTTGAGACAATATAGTC